GCAGTGGTCCCCAACCTTGGGCCTCCAGATGTTCTTGGACTTCAACTCCCAGAAATCTTGGCCAGCAGAGGTGGTGGTGAAGGCTTCTGGGACTTGCAGTCCAAGAACATCTGGAGGCCCAAGGTTGGGGACCACTGCCTTAGTGGACCAAACTGCACATTATGCTAGATGTAAAAAATGCAGCATCAGCTTTGGTTTCTTTCTTTCTTTAATTAATCACACAGACATGATGACAGTAGATGGGTGTTTCAGTTCTGATTGAGAGGCTATCCCAAGGAGAGCAACTTTATCTCTTTTCTCCTTGGTGCCAATGCAAACAGAAACTGATCTACATCTCCCCCATGGGGCTATCAGTTCTGCTTCAAAAGAATCAGCCTGAAGTACAGGAACCATAGTTTGATGACAGAATGCATGCTTTGCATGTGGAAGACTCTAGATTCATACTTCCTGGATATCTCCAGTTAAAAGAATCTTAGATAGCTGATTAAGGTAAAACAAACAAACAAAAAGCCGCCTTTCACAATGAGTTGGGACAATAGAGCGACTACAATAGCGGGACTGAAAGACAGCCCTCCTTGTAAATCCAGAGTGAAGAAGCTCCATGGCTATCATTTTGCATTTGCTTCTTTTATTTCCAGTGAATAATGGGAGAAGCTGGACATTGCCCTGTTCAACACCACAGGGCTCTCCACTTGTGCAAGGGATTGGTGTGTCAAGATGTGACATTTTGTGGATATAGGGTGTTAAAGTAATAAAGAGGGATGTAGAAAAAGTAGCCCTGAAAATGAAGGTGCTTTTAAAAATGAGGCTTGAGCAATAGTTTAGTATAATCATTGCAAAACAATTAGCCAGTTCTCCAGCCAAGCAAGGTTACTCCACCATAACAATCCTGACAGTTGAACATGTTTAGGTTGCAAATATGGAGATGGAGTTTGTAGGTCCTATAGAGCAGAGGTCCACAACCCCTGGTCAACGGCCTGGTGCCGGTCTGTGACCTGAGCCAGACTGGGCAACAGAGACAGACCTCCCCCTACCCTTGCACACACTCCCCCCACAGCCCCATTGTGCCTGTGCACGCCTACATGAGCACTCCTCCATCCCTTAATGCATGTGCCTGCACAAGCACCACACTGCCCTTCGTGCATGTGCGCAAGCAAGTGCGTGCCCACATGAGCACACTCCCACTCCACACCCGTTCTCCTTCATGCATGCGCATGAGCGCAGGGGGGTGCCCTGCCTTCCCCAACTGGTCCGTGGGGTTAAAAAGGTTGGGGACCACTGCTACAGAGTATCCTGGTGTTACACTATCCCAGTGCAGCAAATGCTTTGTGCTTACAGAGCCTTATTCCTCTAGGCTTTGCAACATTTTATTCAAAGTAATGTTATTGTCATAGTGGCAGCTTGCCAGATTCTAAGTAACTGACCTCTAGCGTGACAAAAACTGCAGGAACAATAGAATTTCCTATTGGAAATTTTTTTATTGGAATTCCAGACCCCTAGAAAAGAGATTTTTGTATTTCAAGAAAGAGGAAAACAACTGAAAGAATGGAAAGACAAGTGTTTTCCCCCTTGCATGACAAGCAGAAAAGAGACAACCTGTGCACAATGGACCGTTGTGTGTATGGAGAGCCAAACAGAATAGTGGCCAGTGGGGAAGCATAGTTCAACAGCACAGCACATTCTGTGGCATCCAGAAGACCCCAGATTCAATACAGCTAGGAGAGAAACTTGTCTGAAACTCTTTAAAAGTCGCTGCTGCCAGTCAGAGTAGACAAAATAGGGTTATACGGCTCTGACACAGTATAAGGAAGCTGCAGATGCTCTTGTAAAAGCAGCCGGATAGATGGAAGATAATATATTATGGCCTGTAATATGTATGGCAGTCTTAGGCAGACAACAAAGCCAGATCAAATACGTGCATCTTGAGTTCCTTGGTTCCTTGTGCAGGTTGTGTCTCTATAAGCGCCAAGAGCGAGGTGCGTCCATCACTTGCATGACCCAGCTTTGAAACGCCCGAGGAACGGCTGGATCAACGACTCTTCTCTGAGCCTTCCCATCTCCCCTGATCAATTTCCCTTCCTCTAAAATGGGAATGATGTTGCCAACGCGCAAAACTCACCCGTCGGCTTCATCCGCAGGGTGGCCCTCCATCTCAAAGCGGCAGGCGCAGCCGTAGTCTTCAAAATCCCTCGGGCAAATGCCAGTCACACATCTCATTTTGCTCACAAAGTTCAGCAACGCAGGGAAGTTGGTGAAGATGGACTGGAGCCAGGTGAAGTGAGAGCCCAAGCAGTCTATGGGAACATAGAAGCCAATGTAATTTGCACGTCTGGCAAGGAACGGGGGTTCCCGGGTTCAAATCTCCACTTGGCCATGATGCTCACAGAGTCACCTTGGCTTAAATTCTCTCTTTCTCAACCTGATCAACTTCCCAGGCTTGCTGGGAGACTGAACTCTGGAACAGAGCTGTTTACATCACCATGAGCTTGTTGCAACAATGGTGAGCTACAAATGTAAGGAATATGGGCCACACTCCTATTAATTTGTAAGTCAAACAAAACAAAAGCAAAGTGTGCTGCTTATATATTATCCCTTAAAGCACTCTCTGGTTGGTTTACAATTTAATTATACAGGATACAGATTGCCTGCCCACCCCCTGTAGCAAACCAGGTTCTCAGTTTACTGACTTTGGAAGGATCAAAGGCTGAGTCAACCTCAAGGCTGCTACCTAAGTCCAGAATCAAACTCAGGTCATGAGCAGAACTTTTACTGCAGTACTGCAGTTTAACCATGGTGCCATGAATCACACCAATGAATTGCCACCAGTTGAGGCACTGACATGCATAGCCCTCAATGAATGGCTATTACTTGTGCCATAAAAATTTACTTCCACCAATTCACTGCTGCAATTTATGCTGTTTGAGACTTAATTGATATACAAAAGTAATAGAATTCTGTGGAAATGAGAAGGATGTAAAGTGGTGCCCCGCTTGATGATTACCCCGGTAGACAACAAAATCACTTCACGATGAGGTTTTTGCGATCAATGTTGTGATCACAAAACGATGTTTCAATGGGGAAAATCCACTTCACGACGATCGGTTCCCTGCTTTGGGAACCAGTTTTTCGCTTCCCGAGGATCAAAAACAGCTGATCTTTGGGGTTTCAAAATGGCCACCCACTGTTTTCCGGACCTATTTTTGGAAGACAGCTATCGAAAATGGCTTTCCCTATGGAAGATCTTCACTGGAAGATGATGTATTTCGCCCATTGGAACTCACTGAACCAGTTTTCAATGCATTTCAATGTTTTTTTCTTTTGCTTGACGACGATATTGCTTAACAGCGATTTTAACGGAACGGATTAACGTCATCAAGCGGGGCACCACTGTATCATTGTGAGTGTATCAGCTTCCATGTTGGATCAGCTTCATCAGGATCATCCTACTACTCATTTTTTCCTGAGATTTTTCTGGGCATTCTCAGGAATAGCAAAGAGCTTTCCATTTTTCCCTTCTGTAAACATTCAGAAGAAACTATGCCTCCCAAAGATAAAACTCTGGACTCCATGTCCAACTTCCTTGCTTTTGAAACAGTTGTGTACTTGCCAAAACAAGGAAGGAACTGAAGACAGGAGAGGATGCGTGTAGTCAAAAACTGTACCATCCAGACTCCAGAGGAAGCTGCTGACAGGTTTGGGAGAGTGCAGAGATCTGCAGATTTCAAGGGTGGGATGGAAAACAAGAAGGGAATTCCAAAAGCAAACACTGAGAACTGAAAAAGCCTTGCTGGCTCTGGAGAGTCGATTATTTGGGAGAGGAAGTGGAAAACCAGGAAGGAAAGGAAATGGATCGGACCAGCTGCTGTCCTGATCAGGAAAGTTTAACATTGCAATATTTTATTGTAGGAAGCATACCAGTTCATGGCGCTTTGGGCATTGCTATATTACGAAAGGTCCATGTGTCATACTAATACACATCAAATTACAGTTAGGCATCCTTCAGTCTCAAAAGACTATGGTAATGTGCTCTGAATAGAGGACTTGGAACAGCGTCTAGTATGGCTGAGAAGGCCAATTTGAGAGTGACAATCCCTTCCACACTGAAGACAAATCCAGTCTGTCCCCTGTCCAGCTCCCTGGTTTTGCTGCTTTTGTGACTTCCTCTTTGCCTTGGCCTGCTGGACAAGGGTCTCTTCAAATTGGGAGAGGCTGTGATGCACTGCCTGCCTCCAGGCTGAACACTCAGACGTCAAGGTTTCCCCTTTGTTGAGGTCTATTCCTAAGGCCTTCAGATCCCGCTTGCAGATCTCCTTGTATTGCAGTTGTGGTCTCCCTCTGGGGTGATTTCCCTGCACTAATTCTCCATACAGGAGATCCTTTGGAATCTGACCATCAGCCATTCTCACGACGTGCCCAAGCCAACGTAGACGTCGCTGTTTCAGTAATGTATACATGCTGAAAATTCCAGCTCATTCTAGGACTACTCTATTTGGAACTTTGTCCTGCCAGGTGATACCAAAAATCCGTCGGAGGCAACGCGTATGAAAGGTGTTCAACTTCCTCTCCTGCCGTGCACAAAGGGTCCAGGACTCACTGCAGTACAGGAGTGTGCTCAGGACACAGGCTCTATAGACCTGGATCTTGGTATTACAGGCACACAAAATATTCAGATATTCCTACCAATTGGAACAAAATAGTTCACTTACCAAAAAACAGTGCAACGCTCTCCACACTTGCAAAGACCCCATTGAAGAATGTAATGTTATCTGAATAGAAATAATTTGAGCATGTCAAGCATCCACATCACAGTCTCTTCATTTCAGGTTTATCTCTATAACCATGAAAAAATATGGGCGTGGGGTAGTTTGGGTTTTTTGTTTTTTGTTTGTTTTTAGATTTCAGCTCCCAGAATCCTACATCCACCATGGCTATTAGCTATGCTAGCTGTTGGATTCTGGGACCGGTAGTCTAAAATCGAAGTATTTCCTATCTCTGGTCCTCTCCAAGATAAGCCAGTAATGCCCAACAGTCTTCCCTAGTCCCCTAGTGCTTCATTTCATGATAAAATGACCAAAAACTAGCACCTAAATTGGGGATATGCAAACCACTGTTGCAGTTCTAAGTAAAGATGAGCAAGCCATCGGCGTGGCACCAA